TGAAATTAGACGATCAAGTTTCGATTGTAACTATAATAAATCAATTTGATGTGACACAGTGACACGACTAGGAATCGGAAGAAATTAAAACACCATGAAATACTTCGATCATATTGATCATATTTGCTTCACGCGGATCCGATAGAGTATGCGCCAACGCCCAATTTTCAATTTGTCGCTGTGTGCATATTTTCATTCCAAATTGTTCGTCCTGATTCGGGTGAATCCAACCCGACCAAAATTGGGATTCCTCTCAAAAAAATTATCAATTATCTTTGTAGGCCTAAAAATGCAAATCTGTATGAGCACAATAAAAAAGTAACATTGCTGTTGTTCGTTTTCACTTGCTATATTTTATACTGAATTGTGTCTACTTTGTTGTTTAGATTTTAACTAAATGTGAAGTGTATTGTTTCAAATGCAATAGCGCATGACCACTCGTCCCAATTTGGTCATAACATGGTGAATGCTCTAGATATATCTGCAGCATTATTCATCAGTTTGGGGTTGATAACTATATTCATTTGAATATTTTTATCCGTGTGGGATCGCATAAAATGCTGCGGCACAAATCCTCTTGATTGTTGTCGTGGAAATATCGATGGCGTAAGAGATACAAGGTCAAGTGTGAGGTGAAATTTAAAAATTCATTGTAATATGTATATATAATGTTACAAAGTTCTTTCTTTCATTAAGTACTGCTATTTCATTTTGTGTTTTATATTCCACATCATACATTTTAGTGGTTCAGCAGAAATATTCAGCGTTACGACAGGCAATCTTAGTGAAGTTTGGGAAAACAATCCTCCATCTTATTCCTCACTTGAAGGAGATTTTTCAACCTGGATCATTGAAATTGATGAGATAAACGATACTGAAACTCTAGAAGAAAAAGATGAACAGTCGGACGAACTACCAACGTATAACGATGTAGTAAGCGAAACACAAACATATTCAAATAGAAGCGCAGTTGACGATGATGCAATCAAGTGAAAAATTATTACCGTGAAAAATATCGTAGCCTGCTATGCAATGGATTTCATGATGTCATTTCTTATTCAAATGGTGGAACAACGAATAAGCGTTTTATTCCACCTGATCTTGGGAATCTGGTCAAAATATTCAGTTGAAGTCTAGACACCTCGCGAGGTACACATTTGACTTTAAAGATACAAACGTATTCGAATGTAATGAAACTAGTTTTGTGCGACTAATTTATAGTCATTAATTAACTGCAGCTTCGAGAACATTATAGTTTGTATGTACAGTGGTTGGGCAATCGCAGCATTGTTTATTTCTTGTTATAGGTTTACATCTATGTTTCAAAGTTTTCAGACAACATTCTTGATCCGTTGTAACCTCGTTTCTATGATCAATTATGCTGAACAAGATATGATACTTTGGTCTAGATTTAATTTTCATATTGAGTAAGAAATACTGCATTTTGCTAAAATGTCTTTCAATTCATTGCCTATTGTGTAAGCTTTACTGCAATGTTGTGTGCCAAAATGTTCTACAACAAACCAGTGCACTTACTTGATATAATTTCTATAATGCATAAAATAGTCGAATTAGTTTTCAATTGTTTATATTAATTTTTTAATAATGGTAATTTTTAATACATATTTATACAATTTACCAAAGCATCATTTTAATGACTTTGCATAATAACTAAAGAACATAACATGACCCAGCTGTGATAATTCAGTTATCATATAAACTATATTGTTGGAAGTACTATGTATGCTTAAAAACTGATAAATTGTGTTACCTAGTAGTTGAGTATCATGTCAATTGACATGCATTATATGCACTTGTTTGAGCCAATAACGATGAATGATTAAGTATTATTTTTATATCTATGTATTACATCTTTCCTTTTTTATGACGCTGTTAAAATTACATATTTACTTTTATGTTATCACTTTGTTCAAAACTTAAAAATAATAAAGCTGAAAGAAATGCAAAATAAATCTCTTTCTCTATGTATTATTATTTTCAAAATACAGTATTCTCATTACCATAATATAATATATGGCATATATGATTAAGCGAATTGTGCAACAAATCAAACAAAATTATTTTCATGGTATGTTTTAAATTGTATTGACTCGGTGGCCGTTCTTGTATTCATCCATCTAGAATTTTAGAAAGGTTGAATAGTGATTGACCCTATAATTCTTAAGCACGAAATGAATATTCGCCAATTGGTCAACCGGAGCCAAACCCAATCATTAAAATAATGTCGAATGGTAGTACTGGGAATAGATTAAGATATTTGTGTAAGAAGCTGTACAACAAAAATTAAAAAAAAAGGGAAACAAATACAAAATAAAGAAAAACAAAATAGTATTATAGGTTAAATACGTTAACTACTAGCATACTTGGCAAAAAAATCAACTCTCAATAAAAAACGACCCTGCAATTTTCATTTTTTATGAAATGGCAAACACTTTTCAAAATTCAAAATTACAATATCGATTAACAGTTTTGAACATTGTAAAATATTTCAATTTAAGGATATCTGTTTTGAGGTGGTTGGTTTGTTTCTGGGCAACATGAAAGCTGTACAACAAATAATCCTGCTCCAAACCATTTTGCAAATAGTCTTCTGTAATAGGAATCAAATAAAGGCAAATAGTTGTGATTGTGATATGCTAATTGCTATTTGTTTTTCGAATCCAAATTAAAACCTAAAGTAATCAAAGAAATATATGGATTTATTAGTGTAATCATGGTACAATGCAGCTATTTTAGTCACTCATGCTCCACTGAAGCTCTGAAAACTTAGTCCATATCGCACAAAACGTACAACGAATCTAAAATATTCAATATCGCTAATAAAGGAATTAAAATCAGATTTCTTTATCATTCTTTCGAGATATAATTATGCATTTGTTGATGTTTGTACACATATTGAAACCAAAAAAAAAGGGGGAAACACTATTTATTTGAACGTCAAGGTCTATAGAACGGATAAAATTTGTGCTAATCAGACAATTTCAAAGACGATGCATTTCACAGCTTTGACGGTTTATCTTATAATTATCATATACCACTCATAAAATACTATACAACATATAAAATTCATGATACTTTACTCTTTCATTTTATGTAAATCAATGGAAATTGAGAGAGAGCAAAAATATGTAATTTATCTGCATGCTGGACAGCATGATGTGAATTTTAAGTAATGGTCCAATACTGAATAAAAGCTATGATATAATAAACACCTCCCTATTCAGATAAAATACTAGTTCAGCCTGGGTGGGGTAATTACAAAACGGTTCATATACCGACAACATCTGTATTTAGATTAAGTAAACAATTTCGTTCAATATTTTGCATCATTTGACTGGCGCGTTGGAAAACGTAAATGTGAGATTTTTTATTTATAGTTTTAATCTGAGTTGGTTAATGTTACTGTTAGAGTGTTAGTATATAGTCATTCATCGTTCTCCAAAAATTGTCGCTATAGAAGACCGACAGAGCTAGCATATTGAGGTTTCCAAAATTTGTATTGTTCGCAATATGTGTCCTCCTACTTAAATCTTTGTAATCATTAACTCATAGATAGGATGGTCTGATATTTCTCATTAAAGAAGATAGAGTTTGATGTATTGGAAGTGGTATACTTAGTTTGCTTCAAAGCTGATTGTATATTCTCTCAGTATTGAATCTTAGAACAGAAACGTTATTTTCTTCACGTTTTGACGAAATTAACGTGAATGGGACGTTTATATTGCGTAAGACAAAAACGAGTACGTTCACCTTCGTAATGACTAATTTGAGAAATGTAAATATCACTTGCGTCAACACCATCTAATTAATGTTACGCGACCTAGGAAATATCGACTAAGAGGTTGCTTTTTAAACACATATATATCGCTTTAAGTTGAAATGTAGCAAGCCAAGATGAAGGGCAACCCGGTTGTTGTTAATTTGATGAAGTTCAACAAAATTTAGAACAAAACTTACGTACTAACTAATTGTTGAATTAGTTAAGTTGAACTTTGGAAACCGTGAATGAAGCGATGTTAACTGTAGTTCATGAGGTTTATGAAAGAAAAAGTAATACAAAAGCACCAAGACGAAAGTCAGCCAAGATAACTAAAATAGATTCATGAACACTTTACATTACTTATGAAAAATATATAAACTATATGGATGGCCAATTGAAAATTAATATCTAAATTAGGTAGGCCAGGGCTACTCAACTATTTTTACCAAAGATCCGCATACAAAACTCCAAAATTATTTGGGTCCGGCCTTTCCAGAAATTATACTTCAGCATCCTTTAAACGCGCACTTCCTCGTCCGGTTACTGATTATCAGCTAATCAAGATTGTTTATTATGGTGTTACAGTTCTATTCATATATATTCGAAACTATAAAAGTCACTTCATGACAGGAAACTTCAAAAGTGGGGCTAATGATCCAAAATAAAGAATTAGGCGCGATCCGAATCGAATACTCGAAAGGCGCGGATTCGAACCGCGGCCCGCTACTCAATATTATTACTTTGACGAAGGTCCGAGTTTGGGGTAAATAAACTTCAGTATACAGTTTTTAAATATTTTGATTTAGTCAGATTCATAGGAACCCACTGCGATGAAAATGAAACTCACTCATAAACAGTAGTGCGTAATGGAAGCATGTGACGACTGCTGTACCAATAGTTCAACAGATTATAATGTATTTAGTATAGTACGATAGGTTTCAACAGGAATGCAAGTTTACCATTCGCTTTAAAAGAAAGCCAAATAAAATAAAAAAACACCTTTGGCTGATGATTGAATCCAAAAAAAATATGATTTTAGTTTTAACATTTTTCAATTTGCTCTTTCAGGACTATCTATTTTGAAATCCTTCTGAATTTTTTTTTTCACAAATTTAAAAGTGAAACAAAACCATCATGATCAAACTAACCATGTCGAACGTTACGTGCTTACTGCTGATACTTTGTATGACCAATATAAGACAAGTTTTTTCTCAATGTGCCTGCCCTTCCGGGTGTCATTGCAACGGTGCTACAGTTACATGTAACAGTGAGTAGTGTTTTGTTATTTTGCTCGTTTCCTTGATTTGTGCTTGAATTTGGTTATCGTGGATTTTCGCATTGTTCAATTTAATGTCATTCAAGTACGTACGTTTTTTGTTAATGGACAGATATTGGTTAATAAATCACGGTGTCTGATAAGATGCGCTTGTTACTTATCGATCTTAAGATCGGTAAGTATGTTAATGGTTATTTGTCTGTCTGTATGTCTGTTAGATGAACGCGATATCTCAAGAAGGCGAGATTGAATCTGCTCCAAATTTTGCGTGTGCATTCATCATATCTCGGACCAGAAGCCAATTGATTTTGAATAAATTATGTCGTATAATTAGTGAGTTATCAATCAATTGGTGATGGGGCACGCGGTGTCACTATAGAGTCATGAATCGAAACCGCAGTTTCGATCGATAAGTCTTCGGTCTCCGACCGATATTCTCGTTTATAATATTGCGCACTGCTCTATGAAAAATGATGCTAACGGGTACATAATACGTTTAGTTAACCTGATCAAGTAGTAACTATGGCTACTTTATGTAAAAGTTCATATTACCATAGACTTATGGCATGATCATTTCTTGTGATTATAGGCTATTTTTAGAAATACTGATAAAATAAATTCATATGCAGTATATAGTTATGATACTGGGACCTGATTTCAATTCTCAAGTCATTTATAGCGATTGCGTATAGGAAATCTAGATTAGATGTAAATCTTGTAAAAACTGTGACTTGTGTCATACCACGTAAAAACAGATTTTTATCTGTGTTGGAAAATTATACTGAGAATTTGAAATACTTGAACAGTTCCTCTGAATGTTTTTCTCGACAGTTTTTCCATATTTAGACATAAAGGTTTTCCCCGAATGTCTGCCAGCGGGATCAACAAGACTTACAGTATACAACTCAAAGAACCTGACTACAATATCCAGCATTCCCAAGGACTTAACTTACCTAGAAGTAACAGATACTAGTGTATATAGCGTGTCAAAACACGCTATCGCAGACGCTTCTATGTTACATGTAGGTAACACTTCAGTATATATTTCATTAGTCGTTTAATCACAAGGTCGTTTTCTTATTTAATAATTGATTATTTCAGTGACGACGATTTTTAGTTTATTTATACGTTTTGAGTGTATAGTTTTTATGATGTCTTTGAACATACGACGGCAATGACGAAATTGTAAGATAAATTGCAATCTCAGTCGTTAGTCACGGGTAGATTCATTGACTGTGGATTTGAAATAAAAGGACATTAAACGGATAGTTTAATTAACAAAGTGAGTACTTTAAAAAAAATTTTTAAAAAAACATTAGGAAAGCAAATTAAGCTTGGTACTAACTTTCATTTAAACTTTCAGTGGTGAGATTCTAATTTTTTTTTGTCAGCCGGTTCCATAACAGAAGTCATATTTTTCGGCCGGTTCTGTTATATGTTTTTTTAGTAATGCTAATGTAATGGTTTGCTGATCTCATAAGATTCCGCGAGGCGGTTCTATAGAACCGGTGCAAACCGGCTGAATCCCGCCACTGGACCTACCCAGTACGGATTGCTATCTATTTTCATTATTGACCTGTATAACTATATTACAAAAACTCAGCATTACCAGATTAGCCATAGAATGTTTATAACTGCATATTTTATTTATTTATAACGAAGTATATTGTCTTAGTATCATAAGTTTTAAATATTAATTTCAGACCCTGATGTTCAGTTATAACGATCAGTTAAGACAACTTGATCTAGGTGAACCGAGTGATGATACCCATCCATTGACAACTCTAAATCTGACGAAATGCTCAGTGCTGAGTGAAGTCAACAATGTCAAAGAATATATCAACTTGGAATTTATTACTATATTTTCCTGTAATATTCAAGTGAGTGAAATAATCAATAGAATGATATTTATCACAACAGATATAGATTATTGATGCAGGCAAGAGGATGCTACATAGGGCGAGCGGCAGTAAAATAATTGTGAAGAAACCAAACTATGAATTAAATGATCACCTATAATATATATCTTACATTGTACCTACTCAATTTGCGATGTCATATTCTTATTGAAATTTATTTATAGGAAATAGATGATGACATGTTCAAAGGACTTCGAAAAGTGAAGACACTTGATATTTCACATAACCACCGACTGGAGGACATTGATCGAGATGCTTTTGAGGACTTGGACGCTTTGGAAAGTCTCATCATGAATGATTGCTTGTTAAGGAAGCTCTATTCGGCATATTTTGATAACGCCTATCATAAAAATTTGAAATACGTCAATACATTGCTAAATCCTCTTCAGTGCTATAAGATGTGTGATTTCATGCAATGGTATTGGGGACATTCAAGTTTTCTCAGTTATGCTTTTATCGGTGAGTACAGATTTCATTACAGTTTCTTACGTTCTTTTATTTCAAATATAGGTACGCATTTCAGCAATTCTGGTCTCTCCCACACAAACAGAATTAAAAAAATAAACAAAACTTAACCAATGAAATTAATCAAACACGTAATGCAAATTACATGCCAACATAAAGGAAATAAATCATGTAATAAAATTCGTAGCGCCAGTGCAGAATAAAACAACTTGACATACAGTCTTGCTATAGTTGACTTTGACACGTCTAGCTGGTAAATGTTTAACTGCTAATGTCCTCATGTATAACATGTCTAACCCATATAACAGACCGAAAAGTCATTTGTGTTTAAAAATTATGATTTCTTACTGATTATTGACAATTTTTCGCAGTGTGTGCATATTCGAGTTAGATATTATACAATACCATAACGTCACGCTAATAACCGAATTGCGTAAGTCATTTTTAGCAGTTTTGAGAAAAACGCAAAAAACTTCCTAATAATGATTAGTTATGCCATTGAAAGTATTTCGCCATGGTTCAATTTTTTGATCGTAGCCAGATTCAAGTTAATTTGTATGAAGCAGTTTGGTGACGTCATAATGACGCTCTGTGACTTAGGCAGAAATGTGTCTTATATAAAAGCCAACCGAGGTGAATTAAACTCCGACAGTGAATATCACAAGTGCACGTCTTCCTATACTGACTTATAAATTAAAATATATAAGCGCTAAGCTAGAATCTGAGATGCAAAAACTCGATAATACTTCGAGAGGTTATGTTGCCTCTGTGACGTCACAATAGTCCTGCGATACCAATGATAATTCATTATGACGAAACAATTGCACAAATGTCACGTCATACAAAATCTCCATTTTTTGGGGTTTCTGAATTCTTAAAATAAAATCTGAGTTAACGGACAGATGCGCAGCATTAAATAAATATTTATTTTATAAAAAACTCAAAACCGCCAAAAATGACTAAGGCAATTCGGTTATTAGCCTGACGATAATTTATATCAGGATATTTTTCATGTTTTGCAAGGTATACTATAGCCCAGGGTGGCCAACCTGCTTTCGATCGCGATCGACTAAAATCTTCGAAATAGCTGGCGATCGACTGATCGGTAATAAGGTCATAAACAAAACAAAAATGAATTCTGAATGCGCAGATAACTGCACACACGCATACAAAAATTCCACCGCTGCCAATAAGATCAGCTTTGCGGGCGCATTCTCAATGGAATTGCCACAAAAATTTGCGTTTTTATTATTCCATTCAATTTGTTAATTTGATAATGTAATTGTACCCGGAGTAAATGTTCCATCGTGTATTTTAGATTTCATCAAATCATACAATCCAGATCTAGGGCCTGTCTAATTTTTAGTCGTAAGTGTTTTCAATTCCTCAAAAATCCTTGAAAAGTATTCATGTATTATTGAAATAGCAAATAATGAATATTCTCCAACCATAAATGTTACACGAGTGCTCAAACTTCAGTATCTAATTTACAATTTTCTTAAAATCCAATGTTCAGCTCGCTTGGAATTAGAAAAAAAATGGGCATTCTGATGGCATTGTTGCCGTTGCGAATAAAACAAACACATTACTATAGGGAAGTGACACAATAACTTTGGCATAGTGCAGAAATTGTTGTAGGGTTGTTTGCCAGTCAAGTCACACGATATTCTGCAAGTTCATTTCTAAAACTTGGCAGTAGTGAAACTTGCATTGGTTACGTAATAATATGCTCTATCGGGCTTTTCATATCGAATTACTGCATGTGTATATTGTATATTGCATGTACAGTACTATATTCTTCCTCTTTTAAAACACACAACAGGCGCTGTATGAAACTGGTTCAAGGCAATTATTTGAAGTATGTTAATAAATTTACCCAACCCCTGATAGCTCTTTACTTGCTTTTTAGGAAGCTGCACAATTCAAAGCTACGGAAACACGTATGTGTACATAGTTTCCGATTTAAACCGATATGAGGCAGGATGTCCAAAAGATATCGGTGTAATCATAGGCGCAACACTTGGAGCATTTTTTATCATCTGTATTGCAGCATGCGTTATTGTAGTTGCTTGTGGAATTGATTACCGAAAATACTGTTGCTTTTGTTGCGAAAGCCAGAGGAATCGAAGAATTTCTAGCGATAACAGTACTGCCAATAAGGATCAAGATCACACTTACGCCACGGTGTACTAGACACAAAATGAAAAGGCACATATTAACTACCCTGAAGGTGCCATGTATACTGCCGCGCCACCAAGTTACGAAGGTGTCACAAAAGCCGTGGAGCAAGAGCAAACTCAGTCCATAAATATACCGGAGGTGGCTTCGTCTCCTACAACTTAAAAACATGTATGCCGATGAAATAATTGATGTAAACAAAATCACCAAACAACGCTATTCCAATATTTGTAAAATCAATTTAAATTGCCAGCCGTTATATAACTATTTTGTGTGCGACGTTTTGTGAATTCCACAAGAGCAAAATTCTGTGATGAAAGTAAAGATGAACAATATTTAACCGAGAAAATGATGTGCTTTTCAGTGGTCTTATACCAAGGTATAGATTTTTTTTTATATTCAACATCCTACATTTTTGTGGTTTAGCAGAAATATTCAGCGTTACGACAGGCAATCTTAGTGAAGTTTGGGAAAACAATCCTTCATCTTGAATCTTCACTTGAAGGCGATTTTGCAACCTGGATCATTGAAATTGATGAAATAAACGATTCCGAAACTCTGGAAAAAAAGATGAACAGTCGGACGAACCTCCAACACAAACATTTTCAAATAGAAGCGCAATTGACGATGATGCAATCAAGTGAAAGAATCACCTTGAAAAATATCGTAGCCTGCTATGCAATAAATTTCATGATGCCTTTTCTCATTCAAATGATGGAAAAACGAAAAGACGTTTTTTCCACCTGATCTTGGGAATCTGGTCAAAATATTCAGTTGAAGTCTAGACACCTCGCGAGGTACACATTTGACTTTAAAAATACAAACGCATTCGAATGTAATGAAACTAGTTTTGTGCGACTAATTTATAGTCATTAATTAACTGCCGCTTCGAGAACATTATAGTTTGTATGTACAGTGGTTGGGCAATCGCAGCATTGTTTATTTCTTGTTATTGATTTACATCTATGTTTCAAAGTTTTCAGACAACATTCTTGATCCGTTGTAACCTCGTTTCTATGATCAATTATGCTGAACAAGATATGATACTTTGGTCTAGATTTAATTTTCATATTGAGTAAGAAATACTGCATTTTGCTAAAATGTCTTTCAATTCATTGCCTATTGTGTAAGCTTCACTGCAATGTTGTGTACCAAAATGTTCTACAACAAACCAGTGCACTTACTTGATATAATTTCTATAATGCATAAAATAGTCGAACTAGTTTTCAATTGTTTATATTAATTTTTTAATAATGGTAATTTTTATTACATATTTATACAATTTACCAAAGCATCATTTTAATGACTTTGCATAATAACTAAAGAACATAACATGACCCAGCTGTGATAATTCAGTTATCATATAAACTATATTGTTGGAAGTACTATGTATGCTTAAAAACTGATAAATTGTGTTACCTAGTAGTTGAGTATCATGTCAATTGACATGCATTATATCCACTCGTTTGAAGCTATCACGATCAATGATTAAGTATTATTTTTATATCTATGTACTACATCTTTCCTTTTTTATGACGCTGTTAAAATTACATATTTACTCTTATGTTATCACTTTGTTCGAAACATAAAAAAAATAAAGCTGAAAGAAATGCAAAATAAATCTCTTTCTCTATGTATTATAATTTTCAAAATACAGTATTCTCATTACCATATAATATATGGCATATATGATTAAGCGAATTGTGCAACAAATCGAACAATTTTTTTTTAATGGTATGTTTTAAATTGTATTGACTCGGTGGCCGTTCGTGTATTCACCCATCTAGAATTTTAGAAAGGTTGAATAGTGATTGACCCTATAATTCTTAAGCACGAAATGAATATTCGCCAATTAGTCAACCGGAGCCAAACCCAATCATTAAAATAATGTCGAATGGTAGTACTGGGAATAGATCAAGATATTTGTGTAAGAAGCTGTGCAACAAAAATTTAAAAAAAAAGGGAAACAAATACAAAATAAAGAAAAACAAAATAGTATTATAGGTTCAATACGTTGACTACTAGCAAACTTGGCAAAAAAATCAACTCTCAATAAAAAACGACCCTGCAATTTTCATTTTTTTATGAAATGGCAAACACTTTTCAAAATTCAAAATTACAATATCGATTAACAGTTTTGAACATTGTAAAATATTTCAATTTAAGGATATCTGTTTTGAGGTGGTTAGTTTGTTTCTGGGCAACATGAAAGCTGTAGAACAAATAATCCTGCTCCAAACTATTTTGCAAATAGTCTTCTGTAATATGAATCAAATAAAGGCAAATAGTTGTGATTGTGATATGCTGATTGCTATTTGTTTTTCGAATCCAAATTAAAACCTAAAGTAATCAAAGAAATATATGGCTTTATTAGTGTAATCATGGTATAATGCAGCTATTTTAGTCACTCATGCTCCACTGAAGCTCTGAAAACTTAGTCAATATCGCACAAAACGTACAACGAATCTAAAATATTCAATATCGCTAATAAAGGAATTAAAATCAGATTTCTTTATCATTCTTTCGAGATATAATTATGCATTTGTTGATGTTTGTACACATATTGAATCCAAAATACATGGGAAACACTATTTATTTGAACGTCAAGGTCTATAGAACGGAGAAAATTTGTGCTAATCAGACAATTTCAAAGACGATGCATTTCACAGCTTTGACGGTTTATCTTATAATTATCATATACCACTCATAAAATACTATACAACATATAAAATTCATGATACTTTACTCTTTCATTTTATGTAAATCAATGGAAATTGAGAGGAGCAAAATTATGTAATTTATCTGCATGCTGAACAGCATGATGGGAATTTTCAGTAATGGTCCAATACTAAATAAAAGCTATAATATAATAAATATCTCCCTATTCGAATAGAATACTACTGGGTGTGGTAATTACAAAACGGTTCATATACCGACAACATCTGTATTTAGATTAAGTAAACAATTTCGTTCAATATTTTGCATCATATGACTGGCGCGTTGGATAAAGTAAATGTGAGCTTTTTATTCATAGTTTTAATCTGAGTTGGTTAATGTTACTGTTAGTATATAGTCATTCATCGTTCTCCAAAAATTGTCGCTATAGAGGACCGACAGAGCTAGCCTATTGAGGTTTTCAAAATTTGTTCTGTTTGCAATATGTGTCCTCCTACTTAAATCTTTGTAATCATTAACTCATAGATAGGATGGTCTGATATTTCCTATTAAAGAAGATAGAGTTTGATGTGTTGGAAGTGGTATATTTAGTTTGCTTCAAAGCTGATTGTATATTTTCTCAGTATTGAATCTTAGAACAGAAACGTTATTTTCTTCACGTTTTGACGAAATTAACGTGAATGGGACGTTTATATTGCGTAAGACAAAAACGAGTACGTTCACCTTCGTAATGATTAATTTGAGAAATGTAAATATCACTTGCGTCAACACCATCTAATTAATGTTACGCGACCTAGGAAATATCGACTAAGAGGTTGCTTTTTAAACACATATATATCGCTTTAAGTTGAAATGTAGCAAGTCAAGATGAAGGGCAACCCGGTTGTTGTTAATTTGATGAAGTTCAACAAAATTTAGAACAAAACTTACGTACTAACCAATTGTTGAATTAGTTAAGTTGAACTTTGGAAACCGTGAATGAAGCGATGTTAACTGTAGTTCATGAGGTTTATGAAAGAAAAAGTAATACAAAAGCACCAAGACGAAAGTCAGCCAAGATAACTAAAATAGATTCATGAAAACTTTACATTATTTATGAAAAATATATAAACTATATGGATGGCCAATTGAAAATTAATATCTAAATTAGGTAGGCCAGGGCTACTCAACTATTTTTACCAAAGATCCGCATACAAAACTCCAAAATTATTTGGGTCCGGCCTTTCCAGAAATTATACTTCAGCATCCTTTAAACGCGCACTTCCTCGGCCGGTTACTGATTATCAGCTAATCAAGATTGTTTATTATGGTGTTACAGTTCTATTCATATATATTCGAAACTATAAAAGTCACTTCATGACAGGAAACTTCAAAAGTGGGGCTAATGATCCAAAATAAAGAATTAGGCGCGATCCGAGTCGAATACTCGAAAGGCGCGGATTCGAACCGCGGCCCGCTACTCAATATTATTACTTTGACGAAGGTCCGAGTTTGGGGTAAATAAACTTCAGTATACAGTTTTTAAATATTTTGATTTAGTCAGATTCATAGGAACCCACTGCGATGAAAATGAAACTCACTCATAAACAGTAGTGCGTAATGGAAGCATGTGACGACTGCTGTACCAATAGTTCAACAGATTATAATGTATTTAGTATAGTACGATAGGTTTCAACAGGAATGCAAGTTTACCATTCGCTTTAAAAGAAAGCCAAATAAAATAAAATATACCCTTGGCTGATGATTGAATCCAAAAAAATATGATTTTAGTTTTAACATTTTTCAATTTGCTCTTTCAGGACTATCTATTTTGAAATCCTTCTGAATTTTTTTTTTCACAAATTTAAAAGTGAACCAAAACCATCATGATCAAACTAACCATGTCGAACGTTACGTGCTTACTGCTGATACTTTGTATGACCAATATAAGACAAGTTTTCTCTCAATGTGCCTGCCCTTCCGGGTGTCAATGCAACGGTTCTACAGTTACATGTAACAGTGAGTAGTGTTTTATTATTTTGCTCGTTTCCTTGATTTGTGCTTGAATTTGGTTATCGTGGATTTTCGCATTGTTCAATTTAATGTCATTCAAGTACGTACGTTTTTTGTTAATGGACAGATATTGGTTAATAAATCACGGTGTCTGATAAGATGCGCTTGTTACTTATCGATCTTAAGATCGGTAAGTATGTTGATGGTTATTTGTCTGTCTGTATGTCTGTTAGATGAACGCGATATCTCAAGAAGGCGAGATTGAATCTGCTCCAAATTTTGCGTGTGCATTCATCATATCTCGGACCAGAAGCCTATTGATTTTGAATAAATTATGTCGTATAATTAGTGAGTTATCAATCAATTGGTGATGGGGCACGCGGTGTCACTATAGAGTCATGAATCGAAACCGCAGTTTCGATCGATAAGTCTTCGGTCT